ATGAAAACAGCAAAGCAGAGTTTTTTTACTAGTGTAGGTGCTGTATTGGTCCCATGAGAGAGGAGGGAGTGCCACCCCAGCTGTGGCCAGTGACCCTGCCCTTAGAAAACCCCTTGAAGCCCCTGCAGCGGAGCACAGTGGCCTCCGGGTGTTCTCCCCTCCCTCCCTCCGGGGCTGGCAGGGCACAAATCAGGCCGCCCAGCCGCGGCTGCCAGCCAGGGTGACAGAGGGGAAGGGAGGCTCCAGAGCCCTGTCACCAGCCGTCAAAATAATAGCCGAGCAGTGTGCGAGGGGGGCAGGAAGCTAAGGCAGCTAATCACGGGCATCTGTCCCTGTGTGAGGGCCCACAGGAGCGCAGCGGCTCCAGGCTGCACAAGCACACACACAAGGCCATAGGGGATGGACAGAGCTGGGCACTGCCAGGAGCCCTCTCTGGGAGACAATGCCCTGCTGTGCAATGGATGGAGATATCAGTACCTTCATAGGCCCTTAATGGGACTAGAGGCATATATTTGGACAGGGTTCCAGCCCGACCTGCTTCTCTGAGCCTAAAATAACAAACAAATCAGTGTGCCTTTATTTTGAGAAAACGTTACTCACAGTAATAAGGGAGGGTGGGGGCACCCAAAAGGAAGCAGAGTTGTGATAAAACTTCCATTTTGTTCTTTCTTGCATGTCAAGGAAAAAAAATGTACATTATAATTCAGAGTGCCTTTCAGGGTTTATTTTTCTTTACATTGTTACATGCCTGATCACATCTGATTTTGGAAGTTAAGCAGGGTCTGACTTGGCTGACATTTGGGAGATGGCTGAAAAGCAAGAGTCTGAGCAGGAACTGGGTGCTCATTATATGAATGTGCAATGCTTAAAAGCATGACTAGGGGAATAACAAGGATATTCACAGCTTTTCTGTATCTTACAATACTGTTTTTCTCCATCTCTAACAACTGAAATAACAGTATGATGGAAAATAATATAATGAATATTAAATGAGCATTTTTTAAAATAATAAAAATACACTGCTTGGGAATACTGGTTAGTACTTCACAAAAAGCACATAAAAATTCTTTGAGCAAACTGATCATCAGATCATTAGAGACAGGAAATAAATTCTTTGATTTCTGTTTGCTTGCTGTTTACTAAGTGCTGTTTATTACAGTGGAACTTATTGGCAGGTGATTGTTAAAATCCCTTCAAAACTCATTTAAGTACAATTAAGTGAAAACAGTATAAGCTTTTTAACAGAAAAGATATCAGAAGTAGCATAGGATTTTTTTTTTAACATGGGATTTATTCTCATTCTTGGTGTTTCCAGTGACAAAAGGCTTAATTATATCATAGAATGGTTCCCTCATTCTTGCTTTACTTTAGAAAATTTCAGATGACCAAGGCTGATCTGTTACAGTTTCACTTTGAGGCTCACAAGAAAGAGGTATAATTTTAAGGAAAGCTTCTTTGTTTAAGCATGTTCCTTGGTTGGAACAAATTCAGTTTTAAAACCAATAAAAACTGTAACTAGAACTCCCTCTCTTGCTCTCTTACCAAATGTCATCAGCAGGTCCCTCTCAGATTCTGAGCGGGCTCTTGGGGACAAGGTTAGCTTTTTTTTTTTTTTCTTGGTTACCTCCTACCCCAGCAAAATTAAGAAGGCAAAACCAAAAGGGAATGTGCAATAAAGAAAATGAACATCAAACAGACATTTGAGTATCTGTCTTCTACTTTTTAACAAGAAATAAATATGATATGGCGAAGCAAGGCAGGATTCACATGCTGTGAGCCTCTCCCACACAGTGCCCAAGATGCCCTCATTCAGTTTTCCAGTCCTTCTTTGTTATAGCAAAATGTGAGGGATTTCTAAATCCTGATTTGGATGCATCCCCCCAGAGCAGAGACAAACCAACAATTACTGAAGCAAGGCAAGTTGTTTTCAGTTTAGCAGGTTTCTTTCTAAGCCAGGCTTGTGCTGTCATTTAAAGTTTGAATGCTTCCATTCTCTGAGAAGACCAGTGGCTTTTCAATAGCAAAAGATCAAATGATGTTAATCAGGCAGTGTGACTTAATCCTCTAATTCAGCTGCCTTTTTACATTAGAAATGTTCTGCTCACATAAGATTGATTTGCTCTTAAATTGACTTTTTTTCCCCCAAAATGTGCCTGTCTAAACTTCTACTCTTGGCCCTGCAGATCCATTACACATATAAGATAAAACAACTTTTTCTTCATTTTGAAGGTTTAGATAGGCTAATCCTAACGGTTCTGATAGAAAATCTCTTGTTAATCACAGAAAGCCCAAGATGTTATGCAACAGCAGCAAGAACATTTTTCTTTTCAGTAGTGCTGCCACTGGTTAGCTACACTGAACAGGGACAGTTATTGCTGACCACTGGAATGCTACCATAAGTGCACATTCTCCTCAGCCTTCTGATACAGAGAGGGATGCTTTACAAGGGCATGTAAAGTGATGGGACAAGTCTTTCAGTTTAAAAGACTCTTTCTTTTAAACTGAAAGAGACTAAGTTTAGGTTAGATACTAGGAAGAAATGCTCTCTTGTGAGTGTAGTGAGGCATGGGAACACAGTGCCCAGAGAAGCTGGGGATGTCCCATCCCTGAAAGTGTTCCAGGCCAGGTTGGATGGGGCTTTGAGCAACTGCTAAAATGGAAGGAGTCTCCACCCATGGTAATGGGGGTGGATGTAGATGATATTTAAGGTATTTTCCAACCCAAAGCATTCTGTGATTCTATGAAGTGTCAGCAGGAGATGTCCAGCCCTTGGCACAGATATCAGTGCACGGTGCCTCTCTCAGGTGCCTCTCACCAGCTTTGACAGCCTCACACAAGAGAGAATGGAGCTCCTTGGGCACAAGGACACACAGTTCAGCATTGTGAGGTGCATGGCAGAGTGAAGGGAGCCACAGGGCACACATGTACTCTCATCCTAGAGGTTTGCACTTCAGTACCCTTACTGAAGACTTCTTGCAACAGATTTTCACTAGCTAACTCTCTATAGTTGCTAAGATTGCCTCAGATGAAGGAAGATATTATAGTCTGGAGAACTAAAATGACCATTTATAGTGTCTGGCAGGTGATCATCAATCGTTTTGCTATTAGGAAGGGCATCAAGGCTGCTATTCCTTCCTGATGGGTCTGTGATACACAACCATTTTGCCCTGTCTGCTGAACTACACAACATTTTCTTTTCTTTTTTTTTTGTTCCTGCCGGATAGTACTGAATGAATCCCATCAATTAATTACTTTTCCTGAAGATATTTTGCCAATGCAATGTTTACTGTGACCATGCTGGCAGAACACATAAGGGTTTTCAAAACCCGATGTGATATCATTGGTGCTACATTATATAAACCACAAACTGATTATGATCTACCTTAGGAGTAATTACCGGGTCTGCTCCCAGCCACCTGGCATTTGGGGAGATCATTTGCACATTACTGCACCAAGTGTGCAAAGCAACTCCTCTCCCCGAGAGCTATTTCTTAAAGAAATGGAAGCACAGTGTCAGTCTGGCATTGGGCGGCAGCAAATGCAGTTGTAGCGGAAATCTGTGGGCAGAGAGCGCCATCTCCAGCTTATAAATCATAATTACTCGGCGGTAACCAGCTTATTCGGGATTTCTTTTTTGAAATTGCCATCTGTTCTGGCAAAAGATGGAGAAGAAAGCCAGCTGAGACTGATGAAAGATTGAGATTTAAGCCTTAGCACTACCTTAATATCCTGTAGGGAGACTTTGCTAATCCTTGCTGAAGTTTCTGAAATAAAAAAGCTGCTTAAAATTGTATGGAGCTGATTTGTTTCTGTTTTCAGGCTACTTACTGAAGACTAAAATCCTGACAGAGCTAATATTTGTACTATGTCGGGGTACTCCAGCCAACTGAGAGTCCATCCATTTAACACTACACGTGATGCATTTGATAGGTACTTGGAAAAGCACATAAACTATATATATATATATATATATATATATATATATATATATATAAAAGTACTGTTGAAGAACAACTAGGTGGAAAACCAGTGTCAATAAACAATATGCCAAACCAGCCCACAAGTGCATGCAGAGGGATTATATACATATAAAGGCTACAAAATTGACAAATACTACAAAAATTACACTGAGGCCAGTGCCTGTGAGTCCAGCCTCATGATTATCGCTCAAGTGTTCATTCTAAAGGAGGTCCAAAGAGGACATTATGAAACAAATTACTCACATAGAAGACAGACAGCCTGGACAAAGTATGAAATTCTTATTATGGATGGTTTCAAGAGCTGTCAAGACAAATCTGCAACAGATGTGTGATTAACTTCAAGCAGGAAAGCTGTACTGCAACACCCAAGGCATCTATGATTGTGTACACAGGTGTAAAGGTGATGATTTTCCTGGTCCTTATTGTTTTTTATTGTGGGAAAACAGCCTTGAAATGGTCACTAAAAAGTTGTCTGGGCTTTATTATTAATTTAGGAGTTTAAATATTTATACAAACGAAAGTTAAATACTCTGCCATCTGTTGATAGCTGGCAAAACTGCAGATGTTCTTCCCTGAAACAGACTGTTTCATCACCACACTGAAACCATTACCCGCTGTTTCAGCTGGCAAGATAAAAGTAGCAAAGAAATGCAATGTATTTTGAAAATCCACCAATTGTCAGGTAAGTCACCGTATTATCTATTCAACTCAAAAAAGTGACGGATGTGCTTGCAGCAAAATGCCGGGAGTCCACAGAATAATTTAAGACTCATCAGCAGCCCTGATAACTATCCGTTCTTCCCGTTCTTCTCTGAACAATAAATGAGCTTGCGCTACTCTTTTTTTCTTTTTTTTTTTTTTTTTTTTTCATGGTAAAGGTCACCGAGATGCCCAGTTTTGACAGAGCTATTCCTGCCTTTCTCTCCTCCTCCCTGCTGGACCTCAGCGGAAGAGAGGAGAGGACACGCCTGCCACCTTCCCTTTTCCACTTCGCAGCGCTCATGCCCGTGAGCAGCCCGGCTTCTTTTGCAGTCGCAGCCCGTGTCGTTCTTTTTTGTGGTGAATGAACCCCGAGGAACCGGAGCTTTGGGGACGCAGTTCCCCCACACGCCTGCGCCCGGGCCCCCCTGCAGACGCGTCCTGGCGTGAGGAGGAGGAGGAGCCGCGGTCGAAGCCGTGCTGCCAGTGGCCGATGGCGGCGGGCGGTGGGGTCGGGCTGCTGCCCTTTCTGCGGCTGCTGGGGCAGCTCAAGGTGGGCGCGGGGCAAGGGCCAGGCGCGGGGGCTGGGGCCGGGTTACCTCCGCAGTGCCCGGGCTGGCAGCGGGGCCGGGGCTGGCAGGGGGCGGTGGCTGGCGGAGGCCGGCGTGAGCCGGGGCTTCGGCCCCTGTTGTGCCAGCTCAGCGGGCCCGGCCAGGCCGCGGCTGCGGCGGGGCCTCGTGGGTGCCGCCGTGTCCCGGCCCTTGGGCTGCGGCGGCGCCTGCTACGGCTGGGCCGAGCTCCTGGCCGGGGACAGCCTTGGTTTGGCCTTGGGGCAGGCGTTCGCTGCGAGCATCAGAGCTCTCCCGTGGTGGGGCGGAATTTCTGCCGGTGTCTGTGAAACGGGGGCCTGCAAAACCGAGGGTTTTAACCTGTACAGTGCCATGGTCTGGTGGATGCTCTGGTATCCACCAGAGATTGGACTCGATGATCTCTGCGGGCTTTTCCAGCCTAACTGATTCTGTGATTCTGTGACACGGACAGAGAGTACCGCGGACGGGATGGGTGTACAGGAACGTGGCAAAACCAGAGAGCGTCTCCGACCACATGTACAGGATGGCGATGATGGCTTTGGTGACTGAAGACAAAAACCTTAACAAGGACAGGTGAGACTGCCTCTCTTTATCACGACCATATGTTAATGTTGTGGGAGAGCTGCAAACAAAAGGCTAAAGAAGCTGTCGTCCCAAGTAAGCTTTTAAATCACACTGAAGGAATTTGAAATCCTCTCCCCTCTTCTTTTCCCTCTATCCTTTGGACAGGGTTCTGTTTACCTGGTCGTTTGAAAGGGGCTAAAAACTTTATTGCTTAACTGTGAGTGTTGAGGCAAGTCCTTAGTGCAGAGGCTCAAAGCTGGTCTTCTTTCAAGTAGTAAAGAAACAGGCTGAAGACCCTTGTTAAAAAGCAATGTCAAGCAACAAACAGCTGTGTCAGAGCCTTAGACTATGTCGATTTTGACAGACTGGAGGAGCACTCAGCAGCAGTAAGGAGCCACAGAAAGCCTCTAGGATAGCAGAGAAAGCTATAGCAACTGACATGAAGGCTTTTTTGACTACTCTGCTGCAGACTGGCATAGCTGCAGAGCTGTGAGTGACAGATTATATACTGAATTAGGGATTGCTCCAATCAGATTACCTTCTACCTGTTGCAGGAATAATGTGAAGTGTATAATGTAGTTAATTACCACAACATCTCCAAAAGTCAAGTATACAAAAGCTAAGTACATTACTTTTGAATATCATGCTCTGGTATTTATACTTAAATCTGCATTTACAAGCAGTAGAGACTAGAAATCAAAAATCAAACTCATGTCAAGGTGGACAATAATTCCCTTAACAAAAAAGAGAAAAATGTTATATAAAGTTTAAGAAAGGCTCGAACAACCTTTAGAGTATATGAAGGGGGATAAATTCTGCAGTCTTTTTAACTTATGGATAAATTTTCAACTTAAAATGCTGAAAAACTAATTATTCTGTCCCTCCTTCTTGTCAGATGCATACGATTAGCTTTGGTTCATGATATGGCTGAATGCATTGTTGGAGATATTGCTCCTGCAGATAATATCCCAAAAGAGGAGAAACACAGGAGAGAAGAGGTATGAACATAAGGTGTGAAGCCACAGCTGCAGAGCATTCTGTGTGTTTTTATGTTCTAGTGGTGGTGAAGGAACACACCAAGCAATATAATACTGTCATTGGCATTGGACAAGCCTGCCACAACCTAGTAGAGTTTTCAGCTCATTGAGATTTTTGTACCTGTAACATGACCAAGTACAAAGTTATGGAAGAATCTTTGAAGTAATCTTCACCTTGGCCCTTTTGATAATTTGTTCTTTGTTTCTACCTTTATTTGTTCCTGAACTAGCTGCAGTTTTGGTAAGCCTGAATGAGTCATGTTCAGCCTCCTTCCTGAGAGGTGAGGAGCAGGGAGTAGGTGCACTGAGTAGGATGGATGACAGTTCATGTCAGATCTTGTGTGTGGTGCCAGATCATGAGGTTGACAGAGACTTCATTTAAACCTTCTGCACAGAACCTCAGATGCAGGTGTCTCTTTTGTTACTGTTGTGATTCTTTGAGTGAGCATGCCTAGAGTCACTTTATTTCTGGCCTTGCACTTATCCAAGCTGCTGGTTTGTTGTTTCTGGTTTATGGCATTATTTGAAGAAAATGTAAACCATTTCTGTAGCCACAGCTAGAGGGCAATGTCATGCCTCAGAAACTCTTCAGAGGCTTTTTTCATTCATTGTAAGAACACACAATGAAGTATATCAAAAAAAGAAACACCACAATTACGGTCTGTAAAGATAGTACTTCAAGAATGCTAAATGCACCTTAGATCGTTAATTTCCACTTTCTTAGCAAAAAACTTACTCCTAGTTAGTCATGGCCCCCCAGCCCCTAGTTTTAACCAGATAAGCATAAAAGGGGCCCCCTTTTATGGATGATGAATAATCACTGGAGTGTTTGTTACACTCTTCAAAGAGCTTCAAAACACTGAACAGAGAAAACCTCTTTACTGGAAGCCTCTAAAGGTTGTTGTGTCACTGAGGATCAGCCTTCAACTTTGGTCTCATTTGAATTCAGGCAAGGAAAGAGATTTTGATGCCTAGGTATGTTTAAGAAATTCTCTTAAGTATTTGCAGCTCCTTCTGCTCCCATTTCAGTCAGTGAGGATTTTGTGAGAAGAAGAGTAAAGCATTAAATATTTAGGATGACTCTGAAATACTTTGTTGTAAAAATAGACCATGGGTAGCCACTTCAGGAGGTGGCTTGAGGTGAGTTATCAATACTCTGCTTCCACTGTAGAGTTCTCCTTTCTTCTGTTTGCTCTACAGCCAACATTGAGCTGGCTCCAGAGTTTGCTGCTTGTGCAGTAACTTTAACCAGTGAGTCTCACCAGCACTAAGGCAGCAGAAAATGAACCTGATTAATAAAAGAAGTTTTGGGGTTCTTTTAGAGGAGGGAGGTTGTTGTTTGGAGTAGGGGTTTTTGACAGGTAAGTCATTTTAGCCACCTAACCTTGAAATCTGGTGAGTTCCAGAGCTGGAAAGAGGTGAGAAGGAAGGAGACCTTGATGCTTCAGTGGTGGCAAGCCATTTGGAACCATATTGTGACACTGTATCCTCTATATGAAGTGGAGAAACAATCATGGCATGAAACCTTTGTCTTGCTTGTGATGTTGGTTGTTTTAGAAGCAGCCCTTCATGTTACTGACCAAACAGTAGAGACGGCACAGAAAAGAGATTGATCAACTGGGGAACACAAAGAACATGCAGAACAATTTCTGGAGTCACAAGTTCTGCTGGGAGCCTGCTCCAGTGGATATCTGCTCCAGCATGGACCTCCAGGGGCTGCAGGAGGATCTCTGCTCCTCTGTAGGGCTGCAGGGGCACAGCTGCCTCACCATGATCTTCCTCACAGGCTGCAGGGGAATCTCCTGTGGCATCTAAAGCACCTCTTCCCTCTCCTTCTTCTCTAACCCTGGTATCTGCAGAGTTCTTCCTCTCACTTCTCACTCCTCCTCCTGGGTGAAGTTGCATAGGGCTTTCCCCTCCCATTAAATATGTTATCCCAGAGGTGCTACCACCTTGGCCAGAGCTGTAGCCAAACATTGCCATGCCAAAACAATACAGTAATTTGCTGTGTAGTGGATGTTTCTGCTAGCTTGGTAGCATGTAGATAATTATTCAGAAAATTTAATGATAGAAATGTTGCTCAGAAAATACATAAATGGAAATGGCTTCTTTTTTTTAGACAGCTATGCAACAGCTGACCCACCTTCTATCAGAGGACCTCAGAAAAGAAATCTATGAACTCTGGGAAGTAAGTTTGCATTCTTTTAATCCTATTTTAAAATTTCAGGGTGACCCATTCCCTTCTTCCCGTTTATCTGTGAAATTGTGCCATCTCTTATTTTGACCTCAAGAAAGTGAGATATATTTGCTTAGAAGATAAAGCCTAACAGTATGAGTCAAGGTCAATTTTGGATCCTTTTCAAACAGAAAGCCTGGACTTTGATGAAATAACCATCTTCTGCCCCTAGCCTCTCAGAGTTCCTGATCAACCTGTCTAGGGCTTGGTTTGTACAGCTAAGGGAAAAGTTTGTCCCCTACATCCAGCCCTCTGGATATAAATCTGATTTTTTATTACATTATCACTTGCATTCGTATCTGGTCATATGCAGCTTTTAATACAGGAAAAAAAAATAATGGTGGGTGATGGTGCTGTGGTTTATCTTCTGCTTTTTATACAAGTAATATCTGTGGCTTTCATTTCTTTCTAATAAAGTCCATTAGACTAAGATATTTAGTAGTAACTTAAAATTATTAAGTAAACTAACGTTTAAACTTAAATGTGACCCAAAAAAATGCACTTTTTTACAAACACTGGAGATTTCTGGTCTTGGGTTCTTTAAAAGTTTGTATCAGTATCTTTTGTGTTTGAAGGTGATTTAACCATTTTTATGCGAACCCATGCTGTTAATTGATACGATCTTTTATACTTGCAAATGAGAGATGATTAGATTATTTCCACACAATTCAAGTTTATAATTACTGTGCTTTATCTCCTCCTGACATACGGTCACATGGGGGAAATTGAATCCACAACCTCTTGTCCAAGCATTCTGTGTTTCTTGGACTATATCATCTGAATCTGTATCTTACATTCATATTCTTTTCTACTTAGAGCGAATTTAAATTCCAAATATTGGCATCCAGTTTCTGCCTTTTGCTACAACACCCTGTTTGTGGTTTTGTTTTAGGTTTAGAGTTGGTTTTGGTTTTTTTTCCCTGTTGTAGTTGGGTAGTTGTTTGGTTGAACAGGCAGTGGGAATGGGCACTCAGAGCTATATTTTAAGGTAAAGGGGGTAAACCAACATCATCAGATACAGGAAATAATATGTGTGTATTTTTTTAGGGAGTACTGGTTCCTTCTCCCTTGAGAAACTGTTATAATTGAGGAAAATGAGGTTTTGATAGATAAGGTTAGTTCTGTGTAATTGGGTTTTTTGCTTTGCTGGTCTCAGTCTTCTCCAGTGACGTTGTAAGAGCTTGTTCAGCATGGAGTCAGTTCTTTAGCATGTTAGCTTTTCATCATTCTCATTAACCATCATTTAATATGTGCACACTGTTGATAGTTTGGTCTTTGTTTCTACCTTCAGGATTATTTATTGGCACTGTGTCTGCAATTCATTAGCATGAGTGCAACCCACCTGGCAGAGAGGGTACCCTAAAAATCCACTATTCATATGTAGTCCCTCTAGTGTTAAGTGGAACAACTAGTTGCTCTTTAAGAAGAAAAAAAAAGAGATAAAGAAAATCAGCCTGTGATAACTTGGTGTGCTGCTCTGCTCTCCGCTAGCCAGAGACATTGCACTATGAGTTTTTTTTTTGGTGAGTGAAGGTGGTAATGGACCAGAGCTGAACAGTGCTGAGCAATACAAGGTTTCTTCACATTCTTAGCAAGTCCTTCCTGCTCTGCCCTGCCCTTGTCTCTGTATCTCTTCACTTTGGCTTTACAAGGACTGCTGCTTTGGGTGGTATTGGTGGGTACCTGGCGAGTGTTGTGTAGGGGAGAGGCAGCAGAAAGATGCCTCAGACATACCTTCACTTTATAACTTAATCCCAAATATGTTTGAAAAAACAGTGAAGTAAATGAGTCAGCACGTTTCAGCTCTGTCCTGCTTTTTTATTCTCAAGAGCAAAAGCATGGGAATGATTTTTAAAAGACAACCTGTGGTGTTGGAGAGACCAGTTAGTGTTTTTCCAAAGTACACTGTAATTTCAGAGTCTTAACCACCTGTGGGGAGGTAACAGTAAGTGTTTGTTTCAGCACTGTGCACAGTTGCACATGTAATAGCTGATGTTTCTTGAGGACAATGTGAGCTGAGGTGTCAGCAACATCGTGTGTATAGCACAGAGGTTGGCAGCAGATTGATACTCCCACCTGATTGTTGGAGGTGAAACTGACTTTTACAGGTGAACAGCCCTACTTCTTCTTTTCTTGAAGTTCTCCTTTTTAATGCTGCCAAGAGTTTGTTGTTTTTGAGGGACCCTCTCCCCTGCAACAGAGATTAGAAAAAATAGAGTAGAAATAAACAGATTTAAGAAAATAAGTAGGACTTAATTTAAAAATGAGGAAAGCTCAGGTTGAAAAGAGAAAAACAAGATAAAAACTCTGAAATGAAATTTATTATTAAAATAATGATGAAGGTGTAACTGAAAATTCAAAGTACCATTGAAATTTATGTAGAATAGTAAACCAGTCAATCATGCCTATCGAAATCTGGATTTCTGACCTCAAAGGTAAAGTAAGAAGCCTAAGAACAGGCTCCTAATAGTATGCAAGACATGGAAATGACTGTCACACCTATCTGAGCATGAGTGTGCTGGAATTAGAAAGCCAGGGTCTTTCCACTGTGAATGGCACTCATTCCACAGTTGTTATCATAAGATGCAGAAAGGATTGCCAGGTTCTGTGGTCAGTAGGCAAACCTCTTCCTGCACTCATGCTCCTCTTCTCTGTGGAAGTGCTATGATCCACAGGTTCTGTGGATCTGGGAGCTTAGATGGTCCCAGTGTGCACTTTGGTGTGATAATGGTTGTGGGGATGACGAATAGGGCCAGACCTGCCAGTGGTATCAAGGTGATGGTAACCTGCACAGAAGAAAACCCCTTTCTATGGGCTTGGAAGTCAGGAGAGTCAGGAAGACCTGCTCGTGAGACATCTCATACAATGCAGTAGATTTGGGAAAGAGAAAATGCAATGCCAAACTTGTCTGCAGCCATCACTGGAAGCAAATGACAGCAAAATTGTTCAAGTTGAGTAGAAATGTGAATCACTCATAAATATATACTGATGATGACTGTAGAGAGGGAAAAGATAGCAGAGAGATTAAAGGACTTAAATTCTGAAGGGGAGGAAACCCCTTAACCACTCCCTATCTCCTAGGAGAGACATAAGGACATAAGCAGCTCAGACAGATTAGAGGAAAAAGATTAGGCAGGAATGACAGGAGAAATATAAAGAACAACTCCATATAGAAACAGTAAGTGGTGAGAAAAGTGCTAAATAGGTCTTAAAAATAGGTGGTGACAGTGTGTAGGCACACACTCTGGTAATTAATAGCCTTAGCCAGGCCTGAAATTATCTTTCTACGTAAAATACAGTTAAATCAAACCTATTGTTTAACTTGTGTGTCATGCAGAGTTACCTCCATATCATCCCTGATTCAGCCAAAACAATTGGTATATTTAGAGTCAGGTTATGCAAAAGGCTGTATTTTACATCCCACTGCATTTAATATAAAATTGGCATGTATTTCAAGTGTTTTGCTGACCACTGTGTGTTCGTAAAAACAAAGTTAAAGACGTAACTGTGATGAATATTTCTGGATTGGCTTGTACTAATGAAGAAAGTTCTAGATATATAAAGATATTTTAGTGTTCTGTTTCAGAGTAACAAAATTATTTTCTTATAACTACAAATCTTTTCAGGAATATGAAAACCAGTCTACTGCAGAGGCCAAATTTGTAAAGCAGTTGGATCAGTGTGAGATGATACTGCAAGCATTTGAGTATGAAGAGTTGGAAAAGACACCTGGCAGACTGCAGGATTTTTTTGATTCAACTGCTGGTATGACATTTGGGTACTTTTTTTTCTTTTCATAAATGAAATACATAAACTCCCTTTCTTTTCCTGAAAGACATTCAGAGCAAGTGAGAACTAGTTATTTTACTCATTGCTCATGTCCCCTAATATTTCTGGGGAAACTGGATGCATTGTGAACATACCTGACATTTATCTGTAGGTATTAAACCGGAATTTAATTTATGCCAAATTCCTTTTACATCACTTTTCACCTTAGAGAGAGGCTCAGCTTTCATTACACTTGCATGTGTGTAAGGATCTCCCTGAAACATCAGAGTCTTCATAAAGGAGTCTTCAGTGTTCACCCATGCTCTGACAGCAGTTTGTTTGTGCTCTGTCAGTGTTTCAGGAGTCAGTGAAGTAGGATTTGTTATCCCCAAGTGAGCTGAGTGACCAGCCCAAGGTTCCTGTGAGAACCACCTCAGTGAAATGATTAAGTTGCAACTGTATTACTTTTTATTCTGTCCACTGCTTTTCATCCTTTGCAAAATACACTGGTAGTTTAAAGCAGAAATAGGTAAAATAATAATCTTTATCTTTTTGGCAAGATAGTTGAACACCAGAAGAGGACTGTAACTAACTTGTCCTGTCCTGGGAAAAAAACTAGGGATAGACAAACTCTAGGGATAAGAGCACCAGCAGTCACCCAACAGAGTCCCTGACAAGTCCCATTTATACTTTGGTGATTCCCCAGTGAAATAATAATCTCTCTGTAAGACTTTGACTAGCAAAGGAAAAAAAAGGACAACGTGAACAAAGCTGATAATGCTTTATTTTCTAACTATTTGTCTTTGCTCCCCTACCAGAATTCAACAACTTCAGTTGAGCTGGTGTGTGAGTAGAGCCTGCAGCAAGCATATTACCCTAAGTGCACCTGGAACTGGAGTGGTTCTATACTATGTAGCACGATACATGGTATAGATTATCTTGGTCACAGTGCATCCCTTTTTCAGCTCTTAAATGTCTGAATAGAGCACAAAATACAAGCTTTTTGTGAAGAAGGGGTGTAGCTACACTTACTCCATAATTGGATTGAACTGGGAGCATTCACTTTCTTAAAAGAATAATTTGACATTTATTCTGAGCCTAAAGTGACATCTCTGCTATCATTCCAATTCCAGCCTTTCACACGTGGCAAAATGAGAGCATTTTTCATTAACCTTCCCTTTCTTTTGTTTTGCAGGGAAGTTTGTTCACCCAGAAATACTCCAGCTTGTATCTCTGATTTACACAGAAAGGAAAAAAAGAATAGCTGCCACATCTCATCCACATTCCTGAGGTGTTCCTAAATGCTGTAGCCATAATAAATACTTTGGTTTATATTCTGGTCATTATTTTTTCTCCTCTAAGATCACGGATTCTGCTAGCAGATTTTTTTTCCTGTGCATTCATTGCTGAGAATCCCGGGACCACTTAGAGGGGAGCAGGTATAGTTGCCTTCCAGATCAGAGGTTGTGTCAGGGAACAAAGAATTAGTATATTTGGGGTTCTCCTTCTTTTTAATCAGCCTCTGATTAATGCAGTCTCAGATACAAATAGATTCTCTACTGGGGAAGTCCACGTACATTTAAAAATTAGTTGATTGCAATCTAATCTGTTCATGTAATGCACTGTCTGGGGCAGGTGGTCTTGTTCTGTGAATTTCTAAGTATGTATGGATGTAAGTACCTTCAAAATGGGTTAATATCTACTCAGTGCTACACAGAAACGAGACTAATGAGCATGTGTCTGTAGAAGCTCTTGACTAGCTTAGAGATGAGATTTCTTTGAAGTGCATCAGCCTTAAGTGATGGTGCATAAAACTGGTAATCTCATTAATTATATTTTCTTAATATCTTCTTTATTTCATACAACTTTTCCCCTGTTCATGTGTTGTATCAGAGAATGGTGCCAGTATTTCCATAAGGTCTATATTCCTTACTCCCCCTCACTCCAGACTGGCAGTTTTACAGACTCCTTCACAGGTAATTAATAATCACAGAATACCTGAGGTTGGGAGGGACCCTTGGAGTTTGTGCCATCTAATGCAGAAGCCTGTACATCCATGCAGAGCTGACTCCCTTCTCCAGGATGTGGCATGCTGGTAGCAGTTCTGCCATAAATGAGTTTCTGGCAGAAGTAGACACTAATGTAGAAGTACAGAGTGATTGTGAAGTAAAGCTGCAGTGGTGGTAAATGCCATAATGAGGCCAGTGTCTGTACACCCAACTGCTGAATTGTGTGCAGCTGGAGATGAGGACAATGCCATGATTACCAAGTAAGCAAAATTTGCACCTGTAAAAATTACCTGGTAGAGACTGGGAGTTCTCTTCCACCTCATGTCAAATGAAGCAGCATAAAACTAAATTCAGTTGTCATATCCTTTAAAGGTAGGTAATGTATCTGAACACGCATTGTCAGGCACCATGTCTCAGGAAATGCTTTCTTTACACGAACCTCAGGGGCCTGACTGAAGCTCCCCAAGTGTTCTGTGGCTGATGTTTCCTAGATTGCTGACTGCTGTGCAGAGATGCTGGGAGCTTCTTGCCTCAATGGCTGGCACAGTGCTCAGAATCTGCAGAGTGAATTGGTCTGGTTCAGAGGAGATGTGAGGTGCCTGCTCTGCTCAGGAACCCCCTGGGGCAGCAATCATGCGCTGTGGCAAGCCTGGAATAACAGGTTGCACTTTGCTGAGCTGATTAGTGGTTCTTGGCAATAGATTGCCACATTGCAGAGGGGGATGGAGTGGGGCCCACCGAGCTTTTTTCAGCACTTTTGTTCCACCTAGATGCACAGAAATCATAGTGTCCATTAGTTTGCATTGAATGCTGAGTGTGAAAGCTACAGGTGCGTGGAAGGGCAGAATTGAGAACATTCTTGACAAACCAGCGAAGTGGCCTTGAAGAGATGTTTGGTAGAAACACACCCAGCACAAACACTGCCCTAAGCAGGAACAGTCCATTCGTGTGGCGTAGCAGGAGGCTTCCCCATTCTGCAGGGGACCGAGGGGACAGTGTGGAACCCCAGGCACAGTAATCAGAGTGGTTTGAGTTGGAAGGGACCTTAAAGATCATCAAGTTCCAACTCCCTTGGCAGTGGCAGGGACATCTTCCGCTAGATTGCTCAGTAGTACTGGTAAACAGAATTAAAACATCACAAAGGGTAAAAGAGAGAGAAATTTATTTTTAATAAGAATATCAAGAACTTCATTTACACAAACTAAGTTGTCAATATCTTCCATTTTAAATAAATTCACATTTATGCACAAAACCACGTAAAATAAGCTAGAAAATTGTCACAAGAATACTAGAAAAACAATTAGATTTGCTTTCATGCTAAAAATCACACTAAAGAGGCATGTGATATAAATGTCCAAAGTTAGCCTATGTCCAGTAGAACATTACAAAAGGACTTTCAACTTTGTAAAAACTAACAAAAGCCACACAAGAAAAAAACAAAAATCACTTAAAGCCACATTTTCTCACAAATTTTAAGCAGTCTGTAATGTCAAACTCACTAACACTGATTTGAAGCTTTGGCGTATGCTCAAAAAACACATCCATTCTCAAAGTAGCCAGGCTCTTTTCCATCCTGTTTACTGATAACCTTGTGCCCACCTCAGTGTGTGGTGAGCTGAGCAACGCACCATGCGGAATGACATGTGCTCACTACACAGCAAGATAGTGTCACAAATGTGCTGCTCTTTCTTTAGGAAACATGTTAAAAGAATGCAGCTCAGAAAACATGCTGAATCAAAGCTGAGAGACGTCTGGCTCTTGGTGATTGAGCAGGGATAATGTGGTTGGTGGAATTAACATCCTCGAGCGAAGCACAGCAAAACTTGACACCAAAAGTGAAGTTCTTATTCATCCTGTGCATTGCCAGGTGACAGGGTCTAGGTTAGCAGCTCTGAATGCATGGGCTCTCTAACCTATGGCATGTCTGAAGCCAAATGTTTGGTTTGTATTCTTTCACTTAAGGCTGTATCTTGACAGAGGCTCATAAACATATTTTCCCTTGGTTTTGAGGGGAAGATACAGAGGCAGAAATATGAGAGGTTTCCTCCCTCCACTTGATTTTCTAATTAAGTTCACCGCCAAGCCTTACTAAACCAAAGAGAGCAAGCAGTGGTGCACATTTTGAAACTGAAACCTTTCCAGCCAAAATGACGATCTGAAATCAGCAGCTGTGATAGGTTGTTTCTGTATGAATAACCAGGTGTCTCTTCCTGCCCTCCTTAACTCTGCTGCCCAACGGGTGTAGGGCAATGCCAGACTGTACCACTGAAGGAGAAACAGCTTTTTGTGACAGTAAGTGATTTTAATTCTGTTAGGAAATAGATGATGTACAGACACTCCTGAGCAAAGGGCACATGGTATGGATGGTAGACAGCTGGTGTATGGGCTACTGCTGGCAGCTGAATGCTTTGCACAGCTCTAGGTCCATCTGTCTGATGTGGCACTGAGAGGGAAGCCAGAAACCAAGAGACAGAAAAAAAGGTAAACCAAAATAAATAAGAAACAGAGACTGGGAGATTGTTAGAGGGAAGTTACATGTAACTGAAAACTATTTAGTCACTTAACACAGAATTTAGTGCATTACAGCCAATGACTTGTGTGTGGTTTTGATGATGTACAAAGTACCTGGTGATAAAATGGCCCATTGAAAATAGAAATAGGGAGAGGAAACATTTCTCCAACACAAGGCCAGGATGGCAATTTTCCAAAGCGGACAAAACCTTGTTGCACAAGTTGTGTGGTGAGGGAGAGCTGAAAATCATTGTCTGGGCAAGTCTCTGAAGAGAGGCATGTGGGGCTCAGGAGGGCCTGCTGTTTAACACTGAAGCTCTTCTTCGCTTTCAGGGAGCCGGGTGCCAGCAAGGGAGCTCTGAGCACTAGCATGGGCTGTAGAGCTGAGAACTTCTTCAAAACTGCCTCCCGTGTGGCTTGTCCCACCAACCTTGGTCTGAAATAAGGCAAACAGAGAACAGCAAGATCCTCTGCCCACACTGAAGAAAATCCCATTTTCCAATCCACCCCATGGCCAAGGACAGCAGGGAACTGTTCAGGCAGAGAATGCGTAGGGATGGTTCCTTAGAACAACAGCTATAAAACCAGTCAAATAAAGCAACTTTACTCCACAATTTCTAAACTAGGCTGCCATCATAAAATTTGACAGTGGCATGTCTCATATGCTTAAAGGAGTCAGTCCCTAAGTAGATCCCAGGCAGGATCTTAGACTCTAGCAGTAAACCCAATGGGGTTGTTTACCTGAGTAGCTCACACTGGTTTCATTGCTTTTTTTTCCAATTCTATGCAGGCTGGAAAAGAGATGGATACTAAAATGTACTGGTTCATTTGCTGAGTGGCCTACATGCCAGCTATAGCGACACAGCTGCTCACAAAATTCATAAACCACACTGGGATTTTGGACAGCAGAAGGAAAGTGGTAACCAAAGGACCTAAATCCCTTCAGGCACTTGTAGCTGCCTAGAACTGGAATAAAAAACTGCCAGTGGCATTTTCATGGGAGAAGGCAGAGAAGTGTTACCAAAATACATCAATCAAACATATCCAATGTGCTTGCACATCTACTTCCAGAATGCTTCAGGTCACTGAATTTGTAATAAGTATTAAAAATAAAAATCAGTAAGACTAAATCTTTGAAAAAGAAGTTCTCTAACAAAGATAGAGCTGTATCTAAAGATTTGGAAATGATCAAGACTAAGCGATGAAGAGACAAAGCTGTTGTGACTAGGTTGTCTTGGTAAGAGAACATTCTTTTATGGCTTTGCTTGCTGATATGCCTGCTCCAAGATGATTCAAGCCAGAAAATAGGGCAAAACCTTTTACTCCATCCTAGAATTGCAACAGAACTCAAAGACAAGCTGACATTTTTCAACCTCTCAGCCACTGAATGCTTAGGAAGATTATTTTAATTAAATGAACCTTGTGTTCTAAGTTTCCAAAGGGTTAATCCTATGTAATCCTGTTTCTTTAGCTAGCACAGCAGCTTACCTAGCTTGGAATTCCAATAAAACATTTAATTCATCAGAGTTCAGATTTTCAGAAAAGTTGAGAAGAATGAGGCACCCTTGTCCTGTTTGATTTCCAGGGGAAAATGAACTAGTATACTCTCCCAAAAAAGCTGCAATCCAAAGTCCAGACTCCAAGAGAAAATAAAATCTAATTTGAAATTTGACTTCTAAGTGTTATGAAACCTGAACATCAGTTTTGGCAAACTGCAGAACACTGTAGGATCACTGAAGATTTGTAGCTGATACAGGGGTTGGAAAGATTATAAGACTACTGCTGTTCTTTTTTCAGGGGCCTCTCTGGGTAGT